AAATTCTTTAATTCAAAAATGGAAAGTGATGGTGACTAAAGTAGCCATTTATCACTACTTTAATAAAGAAATTTATTAAAGAAAAACTATGGCTACTAGAAGACAGAAGATAATACAAGGAAAGTCTCTATAATTGTAACTACTCCCTACCAATGGTTACAAGTGGCAAACAAACTTAAAAGATAAGGCATCTAATTTCAAAAAAAGAGGTCCACCCAACAAGAAGACAATGAAGAATTCGGTGGAGATAAGATGGCCTAGCCACCCAACAAAGAAAGGTGGAAAACACCTGTCCAAGATAAGATTCTGAAATCTCCAATAAAAAGGGGCATGAAGGAAGGAGGAAGATATCTCGAAATAGCTGATCTCTTAAACAGATCTAAGAGAAATCTTTTATAACCTGTATACACCACTTGTATTCAGAAAAATACTAGATAGCCTGAAGATAGGAAAGCGTGTAATAAGGTAATCACTTATGGAGTTCTAAACTTCATAAGGTGAGTACCAAAGGTATGTAAATATAGTTTGTAAGCATGTACAATTTCAGTTCATGAATATTAAAGTAAAGTTTGTTATGTTCAACAACGTTTTTATAAAAGGATTTTTTTAAGTTTCTCATGATTCCTCGGCAGTACAGATAGAGATTTTAAAAGATTTTCAAAACATTGATTTTGAATGGATATTAGTCATGCCAAAGTACCCATCTTTGATGAATGGTTTAGGGGAAAAAGGCAGACTTCTAACAAAATTGTAGCACCTTGCGTGTGAGTTATCTTTTAAAATTTCATTCTAAGTAGGAACTTGATTATGAAAAGAGTTTGGATAGAGGTGAAAACAGAGACTCTGAATACTGTGAGATAGTGTCTGTGGAAACACGGCTAGTTCTCTAGAATGAGAAATGCAACTTTAATTGAAAAGCCTTTTGCGGAAGCAGTTGTAGACCCTAATGATTTCAAAAAATATTTTAAATATTTACTTGATTCAGAAGATTGATTAAGTACATGCAAAGCATCTATAAGAGCATACTGGAGGGAAAGGATAGAGGTGAAAACAGAGACTCTGAATACTGTGAGATAGTGTCTGTGGAAACACGGCTAGTTCTCTAGAATGAGAAATGCAACTTTAATTGAAAAGCCTTTTGCGGAAGCAGTTGTAGACCCTAATGATTTCAAAAAATATTTTAAATATTTACTTGATTCAGAAGATTGATTAAGTACATGCAAAGCATCTATAAGAGCATACTGGAGGGAACGCCTGTTTATTTCCACTTGATTACTGTAAGTTATTTACTTATTTTTACATGCCTATGCTTTAATTACTTTCATGAACAATTCACAAGCATCCACTACCACTACTAATGATGATAATAATCTTATTTTATTTTTAGATGAAAAAGATGTTTCATTCTTACTTAAATTAGATAAAAAATCTGATAATATATTTCCTATTGGTAAAGAAAAAATTGAAGAAATATATAAAGATATAGATTATAATTGTAGAAATAATATAGGATTTGATTCTGTAGAAACTAGTAGAGAAATAAGAAAATTAGAAGATATCATAACTAAACATATAAATATACAAGAAGAAATCTCAGAAGAAAGAGTTAACAAAATCAAATGTAAAACTAACCTATGAAACTTTTATATACATTTTGAAGAAATTGGACAAAGACCCAAAAAAAGCTTCAAAATTTTTCAAATGATTTGTTGAGAAAAATGGGTTTGAACCCAATTCTTCTATATATAGCTTGATGTTAAGAATTTATGCTGAGAAGGATTTAACAACGAAACTTTAGGACACATCTATAATTTTAGGGCTGGTTGGTGTTGGGCCATTGCTGACAAGAGGCAAATTTAGGTTCAAGCAGGGAACAATTTTGTGTAACGGCTTCATCTGAAAAAACAGCTATGCTGCCAACCCTTTAGCAGTATGGTTTTTGCAAATCTGGGTTTGATATCACCTAATTTTTTTGACAAAAAGCATGAATTTTTCCAACAAAGTTCGAACCTTTTTGTCGGCATCGATTACACATTTGGAAATATCTTCAATTTGCAATTTTTGTCTTGTTGATGCTTTATTTCCAACACCCACGTGTTTCCACCCACGATGAGGAGAGCAGAGGACGAGGATAATGGGTGAATGTTGTAAGAAATGAGAGAAATTTCTGCAAGAAGAAAGGGCTTCAATAGGAAAGATGATCCGTTTGGCGTTAGGGATGAATGGGCTATATTTTGTAGGACAATATTACCCTTCCTTTTTTAAAAGAAAGTTGCATACATGGGTTCATTTAATGGAATAATTGATAGGAAATGGACCAAATGAAAATTTACGCAACAAAAGGTGTAAATAAGGACGAAAATGTCAAAAAATAAAAAATATGAACGTCTTACACAATCATAATGAAATATAAGAATGTTTTGCACTAATTACCCTTCTGAAAATATATATTTTGGTCACAAGTGCTGGATTTAGAAGAGGAAATATGATACAACAATCCTATATGTTAACAAGTTTAGCTGTGTTTCAAATCAACTTAAATAAGATACAATGAAGAAAAACAAATGAAATGTGAATATATTGTCATTTATGTTTAAGATTAGCTTTTCGAATAGTGAAATATGTTCTTATAGCATAAGTTGACCTCCAAATTTTGATAGGACATGCTTACACGCAATGCACGCATTAAACGTTCAAGACTGAAACATCTCCAAACAAAGGTAGGGAGGCTTTGATCATGCGACTTTCAATGCTCAAGTCTAAAAGGGGATAATGAAGTATATTCGATGCTAGAACACAAAAGGAAAAGAAAAAAGAGGTTTATATTTTTAGAGTAAGAATACTGAAATTCTGAATATTTATAGGCAAAGATATGAACTGGAGGTGCCTTATATGTTTGACACATGGCCTCATCCAAAAGATTCACATGGTTAGCACAAAAAATGTTACATCCTAGCTATTAGGCACATTGTACTAGACAAGAAAGAAGAGACTTGACTTCCAATGATCTTTGTAGATATATCACATCAATCACATTGTACATGGTTCAAAGTGTCAAGTTACATCGGTCCTCTGGCACTAGGCTTTGGAGTTCACCGTCTCGAAGTTCATAGGCCCATCTAATATGGCCAAGTTTTGGGCCCCTACTTATTGTCTCGGATAAAGAAATTGATAACTCCGCTCAGAGTTATATTACCTCAGTGGTTATCGTCTTTGGAAGATTGAACAATCTTCTCAACATCTCAGAAGATAGTAGTTTATGAGGCGATGAAATGAATCCTTGCCTCGGAGATGCTTTTTGATGAGGTGATAGTATATGCTCTCTTCACCTCAGAGATAAGAGATAGTGATGCAACAGGCCCCTATTTTAGTGCCTTGAGAATGCTTAGGCGGCAACAATGCTGGAAAATATGTAACAACATATTCAATACATTAAATTGAAGAATAAGATTAGAAAAGAGTATACGTACAATGTTAACATAGATTTTGATATGTCATTATTTTTTATTTATAATAATGCTACAGTAACATAATGGTTGATATAATGCCACATGACATCTCATCATTAGACTATTTTCGACACAGTCAACATCCTCATTAAATCATCTACTACCAACTGAAATTATGTCACTGTATCTGTTACAATTTTTCTGTCAAAGTAACAAAATCCTATTTTTTAAAGTAAAAAACTTACAAAAACCATGGATAAGCAGTAGTTGGGCAATTGAGTCATACCATTTCCACTGACAATAAATTAATTACTTTTGACGGGTAGAAAACCATACAAAAACCATCAATGGGTGTAATACATTAATTTTTTTTTAAAAAAGGAGAAAAGTCAAACATGCCAAAAAAAAAAATTAAAAAAAAAAAAAAAAAAAAAAATAAAAAAATAGAAATTTTTTGCCAACGTGTTAAAATAAAGTTATTCTACCATTAGGCTTGATTTCTTTAAAGTTAAAGGCGGCAATACTAATATCGTGACAGTTTATCAACCGGGTTGATTTTGGCGTACATAGCTCTGTGAGTGAAAAAATATAAATATTTTTAAAATATTTATAAATTAAATATATTGTCAAAGTAAGTGCAATTATATGCAATTATGTGTTCGATTATATAATTATTATGAAAATCTCTTTTATTATAATACGTGTGGAAATTCAAAGATTATTTGTGGTACATTTATGACTTGGTATGTGAGACATATGTAATATTGAGATCGGTCAGAAAAGTAACCATGATTATATATTTTTTCTAGTTCACTGAGGGGCCTTGGCCGTGTTCCATACTACATTGAGTGGTCTTGGACCGTGGATGAAGGGGTCTCGATCGTGTACATATAGTTCACTAAGGGGTTTTGACCGTGTTCTAAAATTGATTATGAGAGGTATTTGAGATCGACTTTCGTTCACGGAGGGGACCAAAGGCCTGTGGCGAAAGTTTTTAGCCCGAGGAGCGGATTACAGATTTTAGTCAAAGGGTACATTTTTTGTGAGTTTTTCAGTATATTTGATGTAATGAGATTATAACATGATTACCAGCTTATATTCATATCGTAACTTGAGAAGATATTTTACCACGTTATGTGAATGTCCAACGTTTTGACTATAATTATATGATGTTATCTTGCGAGTTATTCAATGATATGAACTCAACTTTCGATCAAAATGTAAAATTGAAAAGGTGTAATTATTTTCGAACTTCTTCACTCATTGAGCTATCAACTCACATATTTCGCGTAATTTTTCCTACAGGTAGCAATTGACTCATTTCAATTGGAAGTGCCTAATGATTTCAGAATGAGAGACACACGACATGTTGAATGTTATAGTTCATATTGATGAAGCACGAAGTAAATAATTTGAGCACATCGCATCATATTTTACATAAGCATTTGATTTTGACGCATTTTTTTGAAGTAACTCATAGTCAGTATTGATGATAGATCTGACATCTAATCAACATCTATTATCGGTGCACGTCATATTTCGGGTCTACTAGGGTGATTCGGGATGAGTCGTGTCAATGGGGTATATACAAGACTACACTAGTTCAAGCTTTAAGTTTAGCCAACTGAATTAGTTACATGATTTGATTCCTCAAGCCACTTTAGTTTAAAAACTAAACTCCAAAAAAAAAAGAAAAAAAAAAGGAAAAGAAAAGAAAAGAAAATGAAAAATGTGTGCATCGCTTTTGCCTAAGATTCAAGTGCTTTGTAGATTACCACAAAGCAAGGTAGAATGGCCCTTGGATTAAACACATACAATTCCTCTAGTTTCGAGAAAATTCCAGCACATTCAGCTAAAGAATCATAAGAGTGAGCGTGCGACATGCCGACTCCATCTTCTTCAAATGTTGCACTATGTGCCACTTGCTTGACTCTTCCAGCTATGACACGACACACAAGCATTGCCCTTTGCACATCTCCGTTATCAAGGCAATCATGGGCTCTTCCACTACTGGCAGTTGTGTGGACCCCACTCACTTTGTTTTCTTGGAAGCCATGTCTAATGATAGTGCATACTCCGCAACTTGGGAAGGATCCGCACAAGCTAGTTGAGCCACATGCACCGAGTGAGCACACGAGTGTGGCACAGTGAAACCTTAGCAACTCATTCCCATCTGCAGCACACCGAGGGTTTTTCTTGGCATTGCTAGTGGCACATATCTTAACTGCATCTCTGTATTCCTCAAATTGTTGGATTGTGAGTTGAGTATTGTGGACTTTTAATATTCGCTCAATGTTGCAAATTGCGCTGTCCTTCTTGAGCCAGCTTGATTTGAAGATAATCTCCACTATGTTGCGGCTTGAATCATCTTGACCCATCTCAGAAACTACAAAAGATTACAAGAAAAAGATAATGTAGATATACAATAAAATATTAAACAGTGGAAAACGCTACTCTTACAAACAAAATGTATACTAATTTTGCAATTATTCATTGTATTTCAATAATCTACTTAAATTCATGAATTTAAAACCATCTAGGCAAATCATTAGCTTGCACAAACAAATTCGAACTTTTAATTTTCCCTAAAAAAATGTAAGGAGCAGAAATAGTTCGATTTTTTTTATAAATTATCATGTAACACTCATGAAAACAAGCATCATGATGAATGATTATGCAACTATAATAAAAACTCGAAGAACCAACTTGCTAATATAGAGAGCCAAATCGCTAATGAGGTAATATGTAGGAGACATAACTTACCAGTAAGCAATATGTTGGGAACCGCATATGCTCATTACTGAAGCAATACATTATGAACCAACAGTGAAATTTTGCATAAATTTCGATTATTAGTTACCATACACTTCAGGTGAATAAAGGGTGACTAAAATTTGGAACATGAAGATGATCCATAGAAATTATAAGGACGGACGATTCAGAGTTCTATTGTTGCATATAAACGAAAATTTGATGCTACTAAACGTGCATAACCCTTTTTATTTGGACAGACAATAAAATAACATGTGTGTCCTACCACAACTAGAATGCTAAAACATGTGGCACAAAAAGTCAAAAAAACATTGGCCTTGTGATTTTTTTTGGTTTTTAGGGGAGTTGAATAGTTGGAAATTCTAATGTATAGCCAATAGCATATATAATCATTGAAGAATTTGGGCTATAAATGAAAAATGACAGCAAAAGTGATTTCTAAAACGAACCTGCGTGATTAATGGCTTGATGATGTTCCAAGCTATCAATTTTCGGAAAGACCTCTCCACATTCAGAGCAAGCACATATAATTGTTCTTGGAAATGGATACCTGTAAAAAATAAAAATATTAAGCGAGATGGTTCAGTACTATCTGAGGTCGGAATAATTTTCTATATCTAAATTTCTCAGGAAGTCCATGACATCTCCGCTTTCTTTTCTGAAATGGCTTTCTCGATACGAAAGAGGGGTACCTGGTATGATCAACAATCGCGTGACACTCATAACACCCAGAAAGCTTACTGAAATGCATGCCTTTTGAGGAGCCTGCTGTATATGTCGAACCACCCCCACCCCCACTACTTGATCTAACTGAACTGGAAATGGACGTTGAAGAAGAAGAAGAAGACGATGACCAGTTACTACTTTTCTTGCTCAAAAGCCTCGTTTCTTGCCCCAGGGAATTATCCGATCTGTGACAGACCCTTGTGTTGCCATGAACAACATCTCCAGATGGACAGATAGAGCTGCAGGAAGAGCCCAGCAGAGTTGCACTGTTATTCTTTGAAGGATCATGAATTTTTGAATCTTGGATCTGTTTGCAGGTGAGTAAGTTCTTGATTTGGTCCCATGAAGACGAAGACGGCCTCTGTTTGTTCTTCCGCTTGGACAGTTGTTTCTTGGCCGGCTCCGGTGGGAAACTGAAGACTGCCATGAGAAGTAGAAGTGATAGAAAATGGAAGAGAAGTGCAATTACACTATAACTCCTCTTTGTCATGGAAGAGATGCTCTAGAAATTTGACAGGGATCTCTTTAAAGAAGAGGGATCCAATAAGAGTAGAAAAGATGTAAGGTAGGCAGGGAGTTCTTCACTGTATTAATTTGTTTCATTTTTATTTCCAATGGCTTGAGTAAATTATATTAACCCCATGATACGTTTGTCTTATGGAGCAACTGTACATGATTTTTAGTTAGTAGAATAATGTGAATCTGATAAAAAAATAAATAAAAAGTATTCTTTAATGTATTTAATAAGTTAGAGTGATGTATATATATATATTGATTTTTTTGATAATTTTTTTTTTTTTTAGCCCTTGTTTGATTTAGATAAAAAACCGTATTTTAGTCGATTTTGATAAAAGTTTATGGAACACGTGATTTAAAAATTGTGAAATTCTTGAAAAATATGTTGTTAAGAATTTAATTATTGACTTTAAATTAAATTTTAATCAAGTTTTATAGCTGAATCAAACAAAAACTTAAAATCGTGTAATTAATTAGCCTATGCAAAACTTGACTAGAATAATGCTATTTAATCTCACTGATGTGGTATTAAACAATAGATCGCATTAGCCACATAGACTTGATAATCGGGTTAAATAACATTACTCATTTAGGGCTTGTTTGAGCCACATTATTTTCAAAAAATTATATTCTTCAATAATGATTTGACATCATTTTAACCACACATTCTTCAATAAAATAATATTATATGTAAATGTAAAACTTTTTCTTATTTTTTAACCATACATTTTCCATTAATTTGACATGAATAATACATTTTTTTCTGAAATGTGGCTCAAACATGGACTTAACTGTGGTATAATGACATGGCCAAATGAGAATTCATCAAGTGGTCAAGACTCCTCGTGTGCTTTGGGCCCAAAATTAGATTGGAATAATTAAACCAAGCACGTGAAGAATTAGGACGGGTAAGTTTGGTGTTTTAATACAAGTAACAAGCATCACTATTTTCTCACTTGGAATTATTATTTTGTTTTATCTCCTTCCTTTCCCCCCCGGATAAAAGGGGGGAACATGAGTAAGCTTAGGGGTGGATCCTGGTCGATTCGATTCGGTTTTAAAGAGAATCGAACCGAACCAAAATTTTCGGATATCTAGTAAATAGAATCGTCGGGTCCAAATATAATTATGGAACCGTTTGGGTTCGGTTCGGTTCAGTACTATAATTAAATTTTTTAACATTTATAACAACATTATGCCCCTGTTTGATCTCCATTAAATTAAATTACGTTATATTTCATTTTTTTCTCTCCTATTTTCAACCACACAATCTTCTATAAAATAATATTACACGTAAATCGAAAATTTTTCATTCTTTTTCAACCACTCATTTTTCTAAAAATTACTATTCCCCCCATTTTCATTTTCAGGTAATGGGCATCAAACATGGGCTATATAAATACAACTAATGATACATTCAATGGTTTTGGAATGTTAGAGACTAGTAAACTACCTTGTTCAAATGATCGCTACGATCAAAGTTTCGATCGACGGAGGTCACAGTGTTGGCCAACAATTATATAGGTTTTGGAATATTAGAAAGGCTGCGAGAGTGAGTGCGAGAGTCGAGACAACGTTATGCACTTTAGTGTAGGTGTTTAGGGTTATTTAGTAGATTTGATCTTGTTTGGCTAAGAAATGAAACAATAAAATGGTAATTGGGCCAAAAATTAAAAAATTAGAAATGAAACAAATTATTGGGTCAAAAATTTAGATTTAGAAATCGTTAATTTGTTTAGAAAAGATTAAAATTAGAATAATCTGATTTACTCAATATTAAAAAAATTTAGAAAAATTCGATTCTTATTCGATTTTTCGGCTCTTGTTCTAGAACCGAAAATCAAATTGTACCGGTCGGTTCTCAATTCAGATACCTATTCGGGTATTTAATTTGACAAGATCCGTCGGGTTCGGTTCGGTCGGTTCGATTCGGGAGATTTGCCCAACCTTAGCTAAGATGGTGTTCTTTGTCTTGTCAATGACCCTTGCTATTTGGAAATTTGCTAATTATATCTATCTTCGTGAAAGATTATTAGTAGTTTGTTAGGAATTTTTCAAATAGAATAAATGTGAAAATCACGGAATGTTTATCTAATATTTGCCTCGATAGTACTTCTAATTTTCTAAAAATATTTTCCAGACGAAGAATATGTACTCTACTTAAGAGATTGATTTCTACGAATGTTATACTTGGATAAATAGGAGGATTACATGGAAAATTAGGAGCATGTTTGGTAAATATTAAAATCTAATTTTAATCTAAGTCAAATTCAAACAATCAGTATTAATTGCATTTTTCATGGGTCCCACAAATTTTTTAACCACACATTTCCAAAACTTCTATCACAATCTATATATATATATATATATATATATATATATAATGAATTTTTAGGCCAAATGATGACTAGGCAAGAGACCAAGTAGTCAAACCAGCTTGTGGCTTTGCTACGAAGCCCAAATCCAAGCCCAACCCAGTTCAAAAAAAAGTGGAAATTACATTATAACATGTATTTAAATATTGCAATTCAAATCCACTCCCCCCACCCCAAATAATTGGTCTCACAAACCACCATCGGAAGCTATCGCCGGAGATGATGCCACCGAAGCCGTCACTACAAGTGCCGTCGATGACGTCCCACCTTTTCTCCTTCTCTCTACTGCAACCGAGAGAACCACTGCGCATGTGGAATCAACGACAATGATGATAGACCCATCACTCGTCTTCTCTTCTCCTTAACATCTCTTCTCTGTCAACAGTAGCGGCGCCATCCTTGGAAGAGAATCTCCGACGGAGCGATATCGCCATTGGAAGAGAACTTCACGAGTAGTGGCATCTAGCGCTGCGCGTAGTGGTGATAACGATGTCGCAAGCGAGCTGTGCCTTGCCCTTCGTCTTACACACCAAAAATCGTTGGTGGTTGTGGTGGGTTCAGATCTAGTTGGTGGTGGTGATAGTATGTGGTTGGATACTATGGTGGTGGGCGTGTGGGTTGTGGGTGCGATGTGTTGACAACGTGGTGGTGGCGCTGTCGATGTATAGTGGTGTTTGACCAGTTTGTTATGGTGCAGATGTGGTGTGTGGTGGGTTGGTGGGTTCTGATCTGGTTAGTGATGATAATGTTGGTGGCCATGGTGGTGTTGCTGCTATTGTTGGTGGCAGCAGCGAAATGGGATGAAGAGTGTTTTGTGACCGACTATTTGGTCAATTTGTAGTATTGGTGGTGGATAGGAATTGAGGTTGGGTTGGGATCAGGATTGGGTGTTTGTGATCAATTATTTGGTTCTATATGACTAACTATTAAAATGTGAGGCTTAAAACTCGATAATTTGTTACTAAAAAAATAATTTGTGATTAGAAAAGTTGAAAATATGTGATCGATAGATAAATTGTGACCTATAATTTTTTGGATATGTGAAATAAACCGTGACCTATAAATTTTTTGATTTGTGACTTCGAAATAATGTGTGACTAATTAATTTGATAATATATGACCAATAAATAAGCTGTGATCTATAATTATGTATATGTGACCAATAATTGTATAATTTTAATCTTATTATATTTAATTAATAAATATCTTTAATTAATTAGTTAATACCTAATTTCTCCATTTTTATACTTAAAACCTCATTTTTTGAATTGTCCGTAATACATGGTATGTGAAATTTTCCCTTCAAAAAATACGTGACATGTCCAATTCGGGTAATATCAAATTGAAATAAAAGGAAATTAAAATCCACCCAGGGTTCATGTTTGCCGCTAAAACCTTCATGCAGGCAAATTCAATCCAATTATCTACAAAACTTTTCAAAAACTGATTACTATCCTCAGTAAAAGAAGGATTCTTTGATATCAGAAATGTCATTAAAAAAATCTGAAGATCAAAACCCTAGAATCACCTGGCCGAGGAAATAGTGGCCAATAGCCGGCTGACCTGGCCATTTTTTCAAAGAGGCCTTTGACCAATTAAAAAAAAAAGAAAAAAAGCAAAAAGGTTTAAAATATTGAAAATCAAGAGAAATCCAAATTTACCCTTACTATTTAAAGAAGAAATAGAAGATAGTAAGGAAAGAGAAAAAAATACTGTAGCACTGATAAAAAAAGGAAAATAGACGATCCATATTTAATGTTTTTATGTTGATATTTGGAAGAAGAAAAAAACATGATTTTGTATACATGTGTTGATTTTTGGAAAAATGCATGATTTTTGGGTAAGGATAATAGCTTGGGAGGAGGAAAATGGAGTGGAGATCGTCGAAAATGGAGTTTTCCGACGATCTCCACAAAGGAGACGGTTAGCCCAACTGATTGGGCCGTTTAGGCATGCCCAGACGACCCAAACTCACCTAGACGCCCTAGTTGACTAGGCCATCTGGGCCATCTGGGCGCCAGTTGACTGGGTCGTCTGGGCCAGTCAACTGTGCCCAGACGACCCAGTCAACTGGATCGCCTGGGCGCCCAGACGGCCCAGTTGTCTGGGCCGACAGTTTTTTAGGCCCCGAAATTTTTATTTTTTAAAATTACTTATTTATTTATTTTCTTTAATTTTTGAAATTAACTATTTATTTTAATTGCTTATATTGTGTTGTCTAATATTTAATTATTATTTGAATTGTTTAATTTTAATGTATATTATGTATTTAAAATTATTTCTTTGAAATGCTTAATATAAATGTTTTATTATTTATCTAAATATTTATTATTT